GGGTGTGGGTGTGGGCGGATGTGGGTGTGGGTGTGGGTGTTGGGTGTGGGTGTGCGTGTGGGTGTGAGTGTGGATGTGGGTGTGGGGTGTGGGGTGTGGGCGGTGTGGGCGGTGTGGGATGGGTGTGTGGGTGTGGGTGGGTGTGGGGTGTGGGTGCGAGTGTGGGGAGGGTGTGGGTGTGTGGATATGGATGTGGGTGTGGGTTGTGGATGTGGGCATAGGCGTTGGAATAAATCTGAAGAATAGACATCCAAACGGACATCCACATCTACGGGCACACCCACCCACACTCACACACCCATACCCACAGCCACACACCCACCCACAGATTCACCCACACACCGACCCACACATCCACCCACACTCACACCCACAGCCACCCATTTATTCAAGTTAAGACACCATCATCTCTTTCATCTGATAGGTGGCAAGCATCAATTAGTGGTATACATCGACATGTTATCGCTGCTAATTCTTTAGTTCGTATCGAAAATCAATATTGTTTTATTCAAGTTGCTAATTGTTCGTCAAAGCCTCAAGTCCTTTATCCTGGTCAACATTTGGCTATTGCTGACTTATATGATGGTGACAATAATGAAAATACTCATGCACTGTCAATTTTATCATTAACAACAACACCGACATCATCAACATTCAATTTCAATAAAAATGATTCTTCTCATCTAATTAGTTGTTTTACTGAGCTTCAAGAATTATCCAATCAAGGTGATCAGAAGAAGGAACTGTTCTCTACTAGTGATCATCGAACCAAACATGTTTCTCAATTGCATGATAAAAGTAACCTTAAATATTTTAATAATCATTTTCTAGAATTAGATTCACATAATACTCCAAATTCTATGATATTGCCTCTTCATTCTAACCTCTCGTCTAATACTTCATTTAATGAAAATTTTAATACATCAACTACTAATTCATTCGACTTTTTAACCAATTTAAATCTTTCTGATACTGATCTTACAATACATCAAATTGAACAATTGAAATCTCTTCTTGTTAAATATTATAAATGTTTTGAAGATACATTAGGACGTACTTCTCTTGTTCAACATCATATTGACACTGGTAATATTAAGCCTATTAAATTGCGTCCTTATCGTGTTTCACCTTATCGTAAAGAAATGATAAGTAATGAAATTACAAAAATGTTAAATGCCGGTATTATCGAAACATGTGCCAGTCCTTATGCTGCACCTATTACATTACAACCGAAGAAAGATGGATCTTTACGATTTTGCATTGATTATCGAGAACTTAATTCTGTTACTGTACGTGATGTTTATCCGATACCTCGCATTGATGATACACTTGATCAACTGCAAAATGCAAAATACTTTTCATCTATGTATCTTCGTTCCGGTTTTTGGCAAATTGAACTTGATCCAGCTAGTCGAGATAAAACTGCTTTTATTTCTCATGCCGACCTCTTTCGATCTCGTGTTATGCCATTTGGTTTAACTAATGCTCCAGCTACATTTCAACGTCTTACAAATTTAGTATTAGGTGGTCTAATGTGGTCATGTGCACTTGTTTATCTTGATGATATAATTGTTTATTCATCTTCTTTTGAAGATCATTTACATCATCTTGAACTTGTTCTTCAACATATTTAACAAAGTGGTTTAACACTTAAAATTAACAAATGTCATTTTTGTAAAACACATCTTAAATATCTTGGTCATATAGTTTCTAAAGAAGGCATTCGACGTGATCCTGATAAACTTCGTGCTGTACAATAATATCCTGTTCCAACAAAATAAAAAGCTGTTCGTACTTTTCTCGGTCTTACAAGTTATTATCGTCGTTTCATCAAAAACTATGCAACAATTGCCGAACCTTTAATAGAACTTACACGCGATTCGGACTTAAAATCCTTTCAATGGACTGAAACCTGTCACCAACCATTTTCAACATTACGACAACGTCTAATCGAAGCCCCAATAATTGCTTATCCTCGATTCGATCAACCATTCATTTTGCAATTAGATGCATCTGATGTCGGTCTTTCTGCTATTCTTGCTCAAAAATGAATTAATGATGATAATATTACCCGTGAACATGTAATAGGTTATGCTAGTCGTACTTTATCAGCAGCTGAACGTAAATATAATGCAACTGAACGTGAATGTTTGGCTATTATATACGGTTGTAATTGTTATCGTCTATATCTTGAAGGTACTCGCTTTACTGCTATTACTGATCATAAAGCTCTAAAATAGCTTCATTCAACCAAGGATCTGAACAGTCGTTTAGCCCGATGGGCGATTCAACTTGCAGCTTATGATATAGATATTCAACATCGATCTGGTAGTGAAAATGATCCACCTGATGCTCTTTCTCGTTATCCTATTGATGCTGCTGTTAATGATGATAATGATGATAACGAATTATCTTCTTCTATTATTTCTTCACTGTCATGTCATTTTCTTAATGATAATTCTATTGATTTTTTATCTGCACTACCATCTAATCCTGGTTCCTTACTGCTGATCGATTACTTCCGCCACAACTCATTGCAATCACATTCGTTGCCGATTCCAATTTCTTTACCATCGATTTCTATTGCACGTCCTCTATCATCTGATATATCTGTAGCTAATATTCATTTTGCTGATAATATTAATTTATATGAACAAATTCGTACTGCTCAATGGAATGATTCTTCACTTTTACTATTATTGAATTTTCTGCAGCATTAAATTATACCAACAACTGACAATCTTAATCAATTTTGTGGTTTAGCACGTTTACATCGGGTGATTGATGGTGCTCTTTATCGTATATTTCGTAGTCGCTGTTCAATTGAAGGTCAACAGCCTATTACATCATTATCATCTGAACGTTTACTGCTCTTTATTCCTGCTTCAGAAATACCTCGTCTTTTACAAATTGCTCATGATCATGCTACAGTTGCTCATCCCGGTCGTCGTAAAACATTATCTCAGTTAACTTCACGTGTTTACTGGCCACATATGCGTCGTGATGTTATTAGTTATGTAAGAGCATGTACATTATGTCAACAATACAAGCTGACTAATCAAAAACCAGGTGGTTTTATGAAACCTATAATTGTTTCACAACCGTGGCATACAGTCGGTATTGATATTACTGGTCCATTATCGAAAACTCGTCGTGGTAATCGTTTTATTCTCGTGGTGGTCGATTATTTTACAAAATGGATAGAACTTTTCCACTTCAATCTATTAAAGCAAATACTATAGCTCAATTATTCCTCGGTGAAGTTATTTGTCGATTTGGCTTTCCTGTTCGTATCATATCTGATAATGAAGTTCAATTTCTATCTAAAGTATTTATTCAATTATGCCATATACTCGGTATTCATCATCAACGTACACCTCTTTATCATCCACAAAGTAATTTAAGTGAATGTATTAATCGTACTCTGAAACCTATATTAGCGTCACTCGCTCATAATGATTCAAAATCCTGGGATGTCAAATTATATCAAATAGCTTTTGCTCTACGAACTGCTCCAAGTGAATCAACAGAAAATAGTCCAGCTTTTCTCATGTTTGGACGTCATCCACGTCAACCCATCGATTTATTACTTCCACCTCCTGCTATTTCTGATAATTTACCATCTGAAGAAAATTTATCTGATTATTGAAAATGTTTACTTGTCGAATTAATGCCTACTTATAAAGCTGCACGTCAATTACTCGATTTTTCTCATCAAACACAAGCACGTAATTACAATATTCATCGTCGTCCATTAGACTTTGAACCAGGTGATTTAGTATGGGTGACCAGTTTATCTGGTATTGCCATGGAAAAATGGCGTGGTAGTAAGTTGCAACCAAGACGAGAAGGTCCATATAAAACTATCACTAAATTATCATCTGTTACCTATGAATTAGAACATATTATATCTCATCAACGTAAAAAAAAACATAATATAAACGGATCGATTTGTCGTCATTCTCTTATTGGCGAATATCTGTAGCCATCACATTCTTTTTTATTTACATGACAATTACATGAATTTGTCGCTTCAAATCGTTCGTAAACTTCAATCAATCTTTGTACTTATACTGTGTTGATCGTTTTCTTCTATCTTATAATTACATTATATTCGACTTTATCATTACAAATTACTTAACTCAAATGAATCTTCGAATTATGAAATATTCTCTTCTGTCAATTAAAAAAAACAAAAACGAAAAACAAATTACCCACCCGAACAAAAATGACCAAAACTAATTGATATATAATTCTAGAACAGTCGCAGGAACTCTAGATTTTTCTGTGGTGGGAGAGCCCTGCAACGGCACTGTGTGTCGCTACCTGTATATTATGATCTGCTCATTTTCTATTTGTTTCTTTCGTGCTTTGTTCTTTTTCTCTCTCTTGTTCTATTTTTTTTCGCGCTCGTCACTAACTCATATTTGTTGTCATTGTCCTTCTTATGATATAAAAAGGAGAGTTTGTTTCATTCATCGATATTGTTTTCTCTGGCATTGAGCTTGTCGTACATCGAGATATCTCAGAGGGATTCAATTGTACAATATTTTCTTTTTCGAACGATCATGTACTTACTGATTCTCGTCTTACACTTTCTTCTTTTCCTTCCAAAAAATGTCCTAATGGAACAAATTTCTTTTCTCTATCTTTCATATCACGCTCAAACATAATTACTTATGTTTCTTGTTTCTTGTATCTTGAAGTGTTGAATTATTCGTTATTCTAATATTGCATTTTTTTTCTCGTTCACATATTTGATACTGAGAGAATTACACACACCTGAACTCCTTGGGAACAAGATGGCACAAAAAAATGACCATGTTCTCTTTCTCGTAGAGAAGAGTCTTACAAACATAAATTGTCTGCTTGCTTGCTTGCTTGTATGTCCTCAGAGGGTCAAAAGAACATAACGGTTCACCGAAGGATAATCAGAGGTTATTTTTGGTCGGGATTTCGACTAATAAGGTTTTCTGACATTGCCGTTTCAACCAATAGGATTTCAGGAGGGGGGGGGGGGCAACTCAACCAATCAGATTTTTTTGGCCCGTAATTCGATCTAGGAACGTTACTTTTTTTATAAAAGAAAGTTGGCCACAGAGATTCGAGGTAAAAGCCAGAATCTATCATCGATGATGAGATTTAGGTGGCAAGAGTAGCTGATAATAAAATTTACTAATCTCATCATAGTGTTGGAAAAAAATCAGCCCAACTTTCTGCTCAGAATGCTAAACTCAAACGTGTAGATAGATGCAGTTGGGCAGAATAATGCAGTGTGACTGTGCTGATTTTGAATCGTGGAACTTCGTAAATAAGCAATTTGTTAACAGTTTAGAAACAGCACTTCTACGAGAAAGAGCTAAGCGAGTCTACAGACGAGCGTTACTTGTGCAATTATATATATTTCAAAATGTTTTATCCCACATAGAATGAGACAACCTTCAAAAATCTTCTGTCTCATGAAGCGCATTGTTTCTAAAAGCCTCGCGTTCCATACCGTTCCATGGAACGTCATATTCGTGAAACGATTCTTGAAAAAGTGAAATTCACTGGTACATTTATTCGTTTGACTAATTATATAAAGTATTCTATCACTGAGAGTAATCTGAAAGTAGTAGTGGAAAAATTTGATTTTCTTCTTGAAAATTTGAAGAAACTCCATCTTTATATGCACTAATACTAAAAATAATACTCTGTTTTTTTGTGATATTTGATCATTCTTTAAGTAATATCATATAATAATAAAATTTTGATGAGAGCTGTTTGTTATGATATATGATGAGTAAATTAGATTATTTTGTCTTCGGTGTGTATTTCCATTTTGCTTTTTTCTTTGCGCGTATTAGAATTCTCCTTCTTTCAACACAATAGATAAGAACGTCTTGGATGCAAAAAATATACTTATATCTTTCCTTATAAAAAATGTTTACATTAGTGGCTGTTTGCCTCAAGGAACAAATGGGATGGGGCGGAACAGAAATTTTGGAAAATTATCTCGCCTCATGGGACGTTTATTAAAATAGTTACGTCCCATCCCATATAGAGCCCTGACACACGTATATATCATTCGCACGCCATAGACATCCGCACATATTTATATCAAAATTATTGTAAAGCTGTTAACTGAGGAAAGCTTGAGAATTACTTCCTTCTTGTGCCTCTTATAGTCGACATTGATTGTATTAGAATCAATAGAAAAATATATATAAAGAACATTAGCTAGGTTTAGTACTTCATATTCAATATCTATCAGTGACTTCAATACTAATTAGAAATCTAACAAATTCAAGGTATTTTGAAGTTGGGTTTAGATTTGGTCTAATAATCTTGGTTTTCAATGTTGTTATATTGCTTAAATTCACAAAATCGTTTGAGTCTGAGTATTATAACGTTTCTCTCACGTCGCTGCAGTATAATCAGAAAATTTTATGTAAGGGCAGGCAACACAGATTTCGATGGTACACATGGTCAAGTGTCAAAGTCAAATCATTTTGTAAATAGAAGTACTCGGCCTACATCACAGCTTTTTCTAGTATTCACTTTTTCTAGATGCTTTTCTGTATGGGTGTGGGTGTAAATGGTGATAGTTGTTTGGACGAAAATGAGTACTAAGTATTGTCGCGAGCATGCAAAGACGAAGCGTCATTTTGCTTGATTTCGGATAGCTATATCGCCAAGTCTTTTTAAATGTCTTTCTTGAGTGAAACCTTTCTCACAAAACATAACTCTTGAAAAATCTGATTGCCATTACTTTGAGTGACTCAACGTGCTCTATTCTGCCGCGCGTTCACATAAAGAATGATTTGTTCTATCGATCATTCAAATATGTAACATGAAAAGAACGACTGAGTTGTTGGCGAAAACTTTTCTCTTTGTTCAGAGTTCATCATAAAACATATGTAATTCATTTCTTCATCCGATGTATATCCTCAGTTGCTGATTGCATTTTCTCAATGTTTGATTGCTCTTCTTCTCTCTTACTCTGCTAAAACAAACATCGAAGAATAAGAACGAAAGAAGCATCGTGACCCATGTATTTCTTGTTTCCATAATGAGGGACTTTTCCCATTTGGTTAACTGTAACGACGACAGAATAAGAGAAAAAAAACGAATAATCCAATATTGAATATACGTATGACCAGGCTGTTTGCTAGTATGTGGAAAAATCTTGCAGATTATCTTCTTCTAGTGGAGATTGTTAGTTTCATAGAACAGAAAGACAATTGTTCTTTTCTTGTCGTCTCAGCAAATACTTTGCTACGACGTATGTCATGGCGATATGTTCTAGCATATAAAAATAGATAGCAGTATCAATCATTTATGAGAAGATAGCTACGGAATAGGAGAAGAGATGAAAAGCCGATGTCGAATCGAGTGATGACATTCTTTGTACGAGTAACGAACGGTTTGTCGCTAACCATTTGAAACATAGGCAATATATCATTCGCACGCCATAGATATACACATACACACATATCCGCACATATTCGTATCAAAATTCTTGTAGCGCTGTTAATACAGGTAAGTTTAGATATTATTTCCTTCTTGTGCCTCTTATAATCGATATTCATCGTATTAGAATAAATAGAAAAAAGTATAAAAAAACCTTAGCTAAGTCTAACACTTCAATATCAATATCTATTAGTACCTTCAATACTAATTAGAAATTTACCAAATCCAAGCCATTTCGGAGTTGCATTTAGGTTTAGTCTAATAATTTTGGGTTCGAGCTTGGGTTTAATACCTGAACTGACGAAATTATTTCAGTTTTGGCATAATTCGGTTGTGTTCTCTTGGCTTATGTATATTGAGAATATTTTTGTATGTAAATGCAAGTAAAAAGGTATTTCGATGTTTCACATTGCGCAGTACGAAGCTTAAATTAGGTCAAAAATTTATGTACTCGACCAACATCAGAGCTTTTTCTAGATGCTTTTCTGGCTTTTTGATGTAAATTGTGATAGTTGTATGGACGTCCAATTGATAGCGTTTATATCGAAGTGCCTCCTCAAAGAAAGTATTTATGTAAATAAGACAATTTTCTGATTCCAGTTTTGATGAAAAAACATTATTTCAGTGAGACTCAGAGATTGTTCTAAACAGGATGGATGATATAAAGCACTCGATAAATTAGAAGTCCTGCCTATAATAGGTGACTGTTTCCCCGATAATAATCAAACAATTCTCCTACAATAGAAAAAGAAAAATATAGATTAGAAGACCAATTCTCACGGCCAATTTTATAAAAAAACTTCAGCAGATTAATTTCGTTTTTGGGCAAGTTTGTGTATGTTTATATCTAAGTTCGGTCTTGATAATAGTTTGCGTCTACCATCTTAGGATTATATCTGTCTTGAGTGGAACCATTTGCGAGATAAAACTGATAAAAGAAATTATTAAAAAGACATTCTGTTATTAAAAACAGGGTGTGGGGGGTGGGTGTAGGTGTGGGTAGGGAAGAAAAGAAGATACAGACCCACACCCACACCCTCTGCAGATCACAGGTTAGAATTTATCAGCGAATCTCTGAAAGGCCTGAAAATAAAGTTTGAATGAGTTTCGATTCGCAAAAATCCGTCCAAGGTAGGAGAAAACAATTATATCCAATATAAGAAAGAAAAAGCGAAGATTTCTTTACAAAATGATATTCTGATGATTAGTTTTCTGGAAGATTTCCATTCACAATGAGAGTCTTGATAAAAGACTCAATGAAGTTTTCGCTATTCCTTGATTTCCAGACTTACAAAGTTAGCACATTCATCTCGAAAGGATTGTTGCGATACTCTCAATGATCAGTTCCCTTTACCGAGGATGCTCTTATCCTTTATGCAGTGCTAAGACTTGGTGATAGAAAGTATTCAAAAAGAAGTATTCCTGCTATGACGGTTGTATATTTTTGAATGCTGATCCAAAAAGTTTCGAAACATGATGCAGCTAAGTAAAAAAAGAAGTGGGAATAGACTAAATTGGACTTCTTTATGAGGA